CTAAGAAGATCTTTAAATCTCTCCCAAGCTTCATATATCGACTCTCTATCAATCTGACAAAATGTTGTTATGTCATTTCAAAGTTTAGCAGTTTTGGATGGAGGGAAATATTTGGATAGAAATTTCTGTGTAAGTTCTCCCCAAGTACTAATAGATCCAGGTGCTAACAAATTTAACCACATCTTAGCTTTATCCCTAAGTGAAAAAGAAAAAAAAAAGTCTAAGTCTAATAGCATCGTTCGAAACTCTATCATATTTAAAGGTAGCACAAAGTTCTAAAAAACGAGCGAGGTGTAAATTAGGATCTTCATTTGGTGTACCTCCGAATTGATTATTTTGTACCATTTGGATAATAACAAGTTTGAGCTCAAATGAATTAGCAGCTGCATCAGGATTTTTGATAGATAAGTGAGTTTCATCTATTGTATGATTTGCATAATCTCGTAGAGGTCTAGGTTGATGTTCATTTTCTATTCCTTGATTTTTCACATTGTTTTCCATTGTGTCAGGATTTCTAGGTTCTTTTCTTAGTTTTCTAATTCTCCTAACAGTGCATTCTAATTCCGAATCGTAGGGTATAAACTTCTCAGGTCCAAATTTACGCATACAATTGAAATCAGTACACAAAAAAATAGTTAACTAAATAAGAAAATAAGTTGCAATTCAAGTAAAAGTTTTCTAATAGTCCTAATTTGTCCTTTACTCTAATTATGATTTGATTTTTTTTTAAATCTAATTTTTACTCCCTGGGAACAACGCGAAAAACTTGACAATGAAATTATATATGCTTAAAAATACTAGAATTTGATACTGCTGCTAGAAGATTTAAATCCCCGGTAACAGTGCCAAAAACTTGACAACTTTTATAAATTTGATAAAGATGTGTATAAAATACTCAATAATTGCAAGGTCACACTTATCAACGCAAGTATACGTATCGCTCAAGTAATACAGGGCTCTAATGGAGTCCTAGATATCGATCCCACAAGGAGTAATATTAGAGGCTACGAACTAAGATTTAAAAAATCAATAATGCAAGTATACGTATCGCTCAAGTAATATAGGGCTCTAATGGAGTCCTGGATATCGATCCCACAAGGAGTAATATTAGAGGCTACAAACTAAAATTTAAAAAATCAATACTTAATCACAACATTATAGTTCAATATACATATTTGTAAAAAATAAGTAATTGAAATAAAAACGTAATTTTAATAAACTCTTAATTAACTAATTCTACTAATAAAGTTTCTAATATGAAGTTCAATATATCAGAATGCTTCCTTCTCCATGTCAAGAAATTTAAGTGAATGGATAAACTGAATCAGTTCAAATTATATTGTGTCAAATAGGAGCATACCTATTATTATTCTTTAACCTTTGGACCAGACATAAAAAACATTGACTAATCCTATACTTGGTTACTGAATCTGCAGCTAGGCTGGGAGGATAACACATCTCACTTCGGAGCTTCCCCGT